GCATCTATATTCATTAGGGAGATTGGTCTGTAGTTCTCTTTCTTGGTTGGGTCTTTCTCTGGTTTTGGTATCAGTATAATACTTGCCTCCAGAAATGAGTTAGGGAGAATTGCTTCCTTTTCAATTTCACTGAAGGGTTTGAGCAGTGTTGGTATTAAATCTTCTCCGAATTTCTTGTAGAATTCTGCCGTGAATCCATCAGGGCCTGAACTTTTCTTTGTCAGTAAGTTTTTAATCACGTTTTCAATCACACTAATTGATACTGGGTTGTTCAGGATTTTTATATCTTGTTGATTCAACTTCGGTTATTCGCACATATCTAGGAATCTGTCCACTTCTGAGTTTTCTACCCTATCGGAGTAAAGATTTTCAAAGTAGGTATTATCATCTCCTGAATTTCTGTAGGATCTGTAGTGATTTCATACTTTTCATTCCTTGTTGCATGCATATGAGTTTTTTTCTTTCTTTTTGTGATAAGGTTGGCTAGGGGTTTATCAATTTTATTCATTCTTTCAAAGAACCAACTCTTTCATTATGTTCTGTAGAGTTTTCTTCATTTCAGTTGCATTAATTTATGCCCCGATCTTTATGACCTCCTCCCTTCTTTGGGCTTTGGGCTTGACTTCTTTTTCTAAAAGTTTGAGGTGCAGCATTAGGCTGTTTATTTGTTCTCTTTCTGTTTTCCTTATGTGTGAGTTCATTGCTGTACATTTCCCTCTGAGGACTGCTTTCACTGCATCCTACAGATACCAGTAAGTTGTATCTATATTTTCATTTGTTTGTAGGTACTTTTTAATTTCTTCTGCAACCCACTGATTGTTCAGGAGGTTGTTATTTAATTTCCAAGTATTTATAGAGTTTTTGGAGTTCCTTTTGTCGTTAATTTCCAATTTCATTGCACTGTGCTCAGATAATATAAATGGGTAATTTCAGTTCTTTTGCATTTAGTTAGGTATGCTCTATGGATTAGAATATGGTCTATTTTAGACAGAGTCCCATGTGCAGCTGAGAAAAATGTGTATTTTGATGTTGTGGGGTGGTACACTCTGCATACATCTACTAAGTCCATTTGTTCACAATTTTGGTTCAGATCTGTTATTTCTTTGCTGATTTTTGTCCAGTTGACCTATCTCTTTGCATCAAAGAGGTGTTGAGGTCACCTATTACAATAGTTTATTAATTATTTGGATTTTCATGTGTATTAAGATTTGTCTGATATAGTTGGGTGCTCTGATATTTGGTGCACACATGTTTATTATTATTAGCTCTTCCTCTTGCAGTTCTCCCCTAACAAGTATGTAGTCACCTTCTTTATCTCTTTTGATTGTTCTCGGTTTGAAATTTACATTGTCTGCAAACATAATAGCTACACCTGCTTTTTTCTGGTTTCCTGTTGCATGGAGAATTGTTTTCCATCCTTTGACTTTCAGTCTATGGATTTCCTTTTGAGTAAAATGTGTTTCCTGTATACAGCACATAGCTGTATTTTGTTTCTCAATCCACTCTGCAGTCTGTTTCTTTTCACTGGTGAATTGAGGCCATTTACACTTATGATTATAACTGGTATGTGTTGGCTTATCATTGTCATGTTATTTACTTGCTATTGGTTTCCTACTTTTTCTACCTGTTTAATTGCTTGCTCTGCTTCAGGGTTCCTTTCTATTACTGTTCTTGAAATTGCAGTTACTTTTTTCTCTATCTAGAATATCTTTTAGTACTCTCTGCAGCGATGGTTTGGCACTCATGAAGTTCTTCAGTTGTTCTTTCTCATGGAAATATTTTATTTCTTCATTAAATTTGAAGGATAGTTTGGCAGGATACATCAGTCTTGGTTGGAAGCTGTTTTATCTCAGAACCTGTAATACTTTGCTCCAAACTCTTCTCAATTGGTTTGTTTGAGAAATCTGCTGTGATTCTGATGGGCTTTCCTTTATAGGTGATCTGTTTCTTTTCTCTAGCAGCTTTTAACAGTCTGCTGTTTTGCTGTAGAACTGGGATCTTGATTACTATATGTCTGGGTGTAATTTTATACTGGTTATGACTAGGTGGAGTTCTATATGCCTCATTTACCTATATATCAGATTCTGTTTCCATGTTTGGGAAATTTTCTGCTATTATTTCTGCAAATGTTCTTTTTATGTCGTTTGTGTTGCCTCCTGCTGTTTCATTGACTCCTATTAGTCTTATATTATTCCTCTTTGCCTCATCCTGCAGCTGTTGAATTGATTTTTCCCGGTTCCTTGATTTTAAGAGATCCTTTCTTTCACAATCACTAGCTGTCATGCTGTCTTCAAGATCTGAAGTTCTATCTTTGGCTTCATTCAAGTGGTTTTTGCAGCTTTCAATGGAAGTTTTGATTTCCTGGATATCTCTTTGAATGTGTTTCATGCATTCTAGTTCATTCCTATACTGTTTACGTAATGTTTCCAGCCATTGCCTATGTTCATCTATTTTTTAATATATTTCTTCTCTAGATGTACTGAGCAATTCGTTATTATTGTCATTTCATTTTTTGCCTGAGAGATTATTTCTGATCTGATCTCTTCTATGGCCTGATGGAGTTGTTTCTTTACTTGCATTGCAATCATTTCAGCAATTTCAGGTGTGTGTTTACCAAGTTCTTCTATGTCAATGTCTCCTGGACTTGTTCTGAGTGGGGTAGAGTTCTGAGATTGCATTTTAGTCCTCCTTCTTGTCATGTTTGATGCCAGGGGCAGAACACTCAGTCTCCATCTTCCCTGGCAGCTCAGCAAAGGTCACTCATGTCCCTAGTTTTCCTGGTGGTCAGGCTTGCCCCTCAGTGTCCGGTAAGATGCGCTGCTTAGTCTGGGGTTTTCCGGCAGATGGTGAAGTGTACCTAGTTCTCCCAGGTCTCAGACGCAAACTGTGATGTCAGCCAATGGTAGACTGTCTGATCTAGTGTACCCTGGCAGTCCAGGGCACGCATACAACCCAGAAGCAGGCTGCAATAATGGTGCAATCATGGACCAGTGGTCCTGTGTCCCCAGGCAGTTCAGCATGCAGGCAGAACGCAGACACAAATTGCAGGGTCAACAGGTTGTAGACCACCTGATTCTGTGTCTCCAGGCAGCTAAGGGCATGTACAGGAGCCAGACATGGGCTGTACTGGCAGTGATCACAGACCACCTGTGTCTATGACCTCCAGAGGGTCACAGTGCAAGTAAAGCCCAGACGCAAACCGCAGTGCCAGTAGTTCATGGACTGCCTGCTCTAGTACCTCAATGCACGTGCAGGGAGAGCCCAAACACAAACACTGGTGTTAGCAGTTCATGGGCCTTCTGAGTGAGGATCTCCTGTCTCTAAATGGTACTAAGGAATTAATATTTATTTATGGGGGGTACGAGGATTGAACTCAGGACCTTGTGCTTGTCAGGGAAGTGCTGTGCCACTGAGCTATATCCCTGGCCTCTTTAATATTTACTTTAACAGAGGTGATAATGGCCTTATATAGTAAAATCCTCTTTTTATAGAGATGCATAAAGATGCCATGATATCTTTAACTTTAAAGTATCTCATGATAAAAAACAAATATGACAAAATGTTAAAACTGGGGAACGAGCATATAATAATTCATTATTGTTTTCTACTTTTCTGTTTGTGAAAATAAAAAAAAGATTGCTTTTATATTTGTCTCATTCTGATACCAGGTTGCCTCATTCAATTCTTTAAAAACTATCCCACTTCTTCCTTTGTAATGAGTCCTTATGTATTTAATTGATCTGATGTATCATTAGGAGAATATGCTTACATTATTCTGGCTACAAAAAATTCTGGCCATCAGAGATTTTCATGAACTAACAGATTATTGTATTTATTTAGGGATATCATCTAAGCATTTGGCCTTACACAGCATAGCTACCTTACCAGAAATAAACATCTAAATTTATAAATTTCTGTACTGTTGGAAAGCAAACATGGAGAAACCCCAATCCTAACCTATTTCCCTATTTATTCCTCTATGAGCTAATCTTCTAAAATGTTTCTGCCTTCTAAAGTTTTAAATTCCATCACAGATATCCTAATTAAATGTTTTAATCAAACTATATATTCTTCTCTTTGAACATCATGCTATAATACTTTCTCCCACATTTTCCTGCTTCCTTTGCTCCACTATAGTCCACTATTACACTAACAAATGGAAACATTAAATAAATACCTGGCATTACCACAATCCTGCCTTTTGCCTGAAAAAAAGAAAAAAAAGTAAATTTTAATAGCTTTCTCTTATTTGAGATAATAAGACAGTACGAACAGAAAAATGAGTCAGTTACAATTTAAATTTTAAAGTTTAAGTTTCAATATTGTCTATACTGGGAAGGGGATCTTGGGCAAGAAGGATGTCCAACACTAACTTTTGTTTACAAAACTATTTTACTATATTGTTTTAAAAACTCAGATTGTCATGAACCCAAATACAATACAGTGGACCCTCAAGTTACAACTGGCCTCACATATAAACAACTTTGGTTATGACTGGAATTTTGGGTTGAACTTATAACCAAAGTCTTGAATTGCAACCCAAATGCCAGCTGCTTGTGCAGCTATAAACAAAGACAATGCCAGAGAAGTGCATGAAAGCATCTGTAAGTGTACATAAAGCACCAGTCTGAGCTCAGATACCCGTGTTTCTGGATGTGACTTCAGTCAGTGATTTATATAATCACTACAATTACTGCTATGGAAATGGCCCCAAAAAAGCTAGAGACAAAACTAAGAAATGAAGGGATAGCAAGGAAAGCAATCACAATCAAAAAGAAGGAAACTGGAGAACTATGAGAGTGGCATTCATGTGACCAATCTCCCCTAATATGTACAGCATGTCAAAACCCACCATCTCAACAATCTTACAGAGAAAAAATCTGTATAAGGAAGCTAGTATTGCTAAAGGTGTTACTCAAATTACCAAGTCAGGATTAACAGTGTTAGATGAGGTAGAAAGGCTATTATTAGTGTGGATAACTGAAAGACAGAGGGCAGATTTTGGACTAAGCCTACAATTTGTGAAAAAATTAGGGCTATAAATGCAGATCTCATAAAGGATAATCCATCAATGAGTGATAATGGTGAAACATTTTGTGCCAGTAAGGGCTGGTTTCACAATTTTAAAGTGAGAACTGGGGTTCATAGCATAACTAAACATGGTGAAGCAGCCAATGCTGATAAAAGGGCTGCTGAAAATTACATACACCACTTTGAAACAATGACACAGAGAAATGGCTTTTGCTCTCATCGAGTTTCAACTGTGATGAAACTGGCCTTTCCTGGAGGAAAATGCCCAGGAGAACATACATTGCTCAGGAAGAAAAAAAAATTCCAGGCCACAAGCCTATGAGGGATAAGCTAACCTTTTGCTATGTGCCAATGTGAGTGGTGACCTCAAGATAAAGCCCCTCTTGGTTTATCACTCTGAGACCCCTGCAGTGTTCAGAAAACAAAGTCATGAAGAATAGGCTAAGGGCCATGTGGAGATGTAATGCAAAAGCCTGGGTAACAAGAGTACTTTTTCTTGAATGGATCAGGAAAGCTTTCTGTCTGTTAGAAACTATCTAGAGGACAAAGGTTTACCACTCAAAGCTCTCCTCATCATGGCCAATGCTCCTGCTCATCCAGATTTGGAAAAATTGGCTGAAGAATTCCCATGGCTCTCAATTGAGCTCCTCCAACCTAATACAACTGCTCTACTGCAGCCTGTGGACTGGTGGGTTATAACTAACTTTAAGATGCTATACATCAAGGAACTGTTCCTAAAGTGCTTCCAAATGGTCTCAGATAGATTTAACCCTTAAAGAGTTCTGGAAGGAACATAACAACATCCTTTCCTGTGTGGGGTTACAGTAATTGAGAAATCCTGGGCCAATGTCTCTCTAAGGACACTGAGAGCTTCCTGGAAGAAAGTGTAGCCTAAAATTATACAGAAGAGACTTTGAAGGTTGTGTAAAGAAGCCTGAGTCTTCAGTTGACCCTGTGGTTGATGACACTGTCACTCTAGCAGAGTCCATAAACTTGCAGGTAGACAGTGGTGATATTGAGGAACTGTTGGAAGAACACTCAGAGGAATGTCTACAGACTTCAGCAACTTCTAGCTGAGCAACAGAGAATGGCAGCTGAGGAACTTTCTGAAGAGGAAGGTGAGTATCAACAATCAGTGCAACGAAGTTCTTCTTCTGAAATAAAGGAAATCCTGAAAAAAATGGACAGAGCTACAAACATTTGTGGAGAAGACCCACCCAGACAGAGAAAAAAAAACCAATTGTTGTATTCACTTGCTTCATGATAATGTCATGTCATACTACAGAACAGTGTTAAAAGACAGAAACAACTTTAGACCAGTTTTAGTTCTGAAAAGGTTGAAACCTAGTGAGCCAGAGGCAGGTCCTAGTGGGCTACAGACTCTCTCAAGGACAGCAAAGACACCAGAGAGCCAGATTCCTGAAGTTTTTATGGAAGAGGACTCTCCTTTCAAATAACCACCTTCCATTTCATCCTCCCTTCCTTCAAGTCAAAGATGTTAACTTGAATGGTGAACACAGTATGAAACTGTTTCTGGTAAACTAAGCACATATGCTAACTTTTTGGTGAATACACTAGGAAAATTATTGGTGTTTCTAGTAAATTATGCACATTAAACAGCTCTTTTTTATCATGAAAATGTTAACTGAGGAGTGCTTTGGGAGTTTCAGAACACATTATGGGTATTTCCATTATTTCTTATGGGAAAAATAGTCTTGACTTACAACCAAGTTGAGTTACAACCAGCCCCTGCAAACGAATTGAGCTTGTAAGTGAAGAGTCCACTGTATCAATACTGAATAATCACACAACCTTACGGAAAGCCTTACAGAAAAATGACACATATGCCAGGCATAGTGGTACACGCTTGTAATCCCAGAACTTGGGAGACTGAGGCAGGAGGATCACTGTGCGTTCAAGGCCAGCCTGGGCTACATAGTGAGTTCAAGTCCAGCCTGAACTATATAGCAAGACCCTGCCTAAAACAAAACAAAACAAAACAAAACAAAACAAATTTTAAAAACCCAGACAAGTAACACTAATCCAGAGTTCTTGGTATGCCATGATATGGGAATAGCTGAAACTCAAACAAGATTTTAAAATGAGCTGTGGTGGTGCATGCCTGAAATCCCAGTGCTCAGGAGGCTTAGGCAAGAAGAGGGGTTGTGAGTTTGAAGACAACATGAACTACGTAGGAGGCTGTCTCAGAAACAAAACAACAACAACAAAAATGAAACCACAACGTTTAACAAAGGAACCAGCTTAGGTATCCATCAACAGACAAATGAACAAAGAAAATGTGGAATATCCATATACAATGGAGTATTATTAACCCATAAGCAAGAACAACATCATGTCATTTGTAGAAAAATGGAACTGGAAACCACCATGTTAGGTGAAATAAGCCAGATTCAGAAAGACAGCTATCATATGTTTTCCTTCACATGTTGAATCTAAGAAATAAACAACAAAAGATGGCAGGAAAGCAGATGGGAGACAATTATATTAGACAAGAGGAAGGAAATAAAGAGGGGGGTAGTGGGGGATGGGTATGATCAAAATACATTATACACACACCTGAAAATACCCCACTGAACTCCAATGTTTTATAAATTTTTTTTTTCTGGTACCGGGAATCGAACTCACAACCCTGTGCTTGCCACGCAGGTGCTGTGCCGCTGAGCTAAATCCCCAGCCCCCTATTTTATAAAATTAAAAGTCACTAATAAAATACATTTTAAGAAGACAAAAATTTTTGGTTTTTTTTGTCTTTTTGAGACAGGGTCTTGCTATGCAGTTCAGGCTGACCTTGAGCTCACTTTGTAGCCCAAGCTGGCCTCGAGCTCCCAATGATCCTCCTGCCCCAGCCTCCTGAGTGCTGGGATTACAGGCATGCGCCACCATGCCCAGCAAGAAAAAAGATTTTAATAGAAAAGAAAGTACAACATAATTGGAGATTACTGAGGGGAAACCCACTCAAACCCTATATCCTCAATTAAATTCCTTCATTTATCATACCAATTAAACAAAACCATGGGTTTATTTAACTGGGACGACAAGAATTTAATTTAATTTCTTGTAATTCTGGAAGATAATTCTGGGATTAACTATCTCCCATTTATCCTAAGGGTCCATTCAGCTTTCCCAGAAGTTATTTTTTTCACCTATAAGAACTTTTTTCTCAGCTGGGGATATAGCTCAGTGGCGTAAGAGCCTATCTGGCAAGTACAAGGTTGTGAGTTCGATCCCCGGTACCGCAAAAAAAAACAACAAAAAACTACTTTAATTTTGTATGTATGTATATACAGGATAGTTAACATAGTTGTTCTACTGTCTACTGTTTCTTTGCTGAAAAAAACTGTCAATGAGTCCTTAATTGATCAATATTGCATGTCTCTGTTTTCATGAGAAACCACTCTGAAGATATCAATATGTAATACAACAAGCATTGTTAATTTCCTACCACTTTGTTTGTAACTCTGTATTGTGTGTACTGTTCTTTTGCTATTTTGTGAAAGGTTGTCTGTCTGTTGTTTTCCTCCTTTTATTTTTAAAATAAAAAAAAAGAAGAACTTTTTTCTCCTTCTTCTTCACTTATTAGTATGTTATAAGTAATAGGTCCGAAATTCTAACCATCCTTTTGAGGAATATTTCTTCATGAACTTCCTTATGTATATAAGAATGTATATACTTACACAGGCAATCAATCTTTTTTCTCCTGCTAGTGTATCTTTGTCAGCTAATTAGCAGGCTCTTAAGAGTTAAATATAAGAAGGTGGTAAACCTTCCTAAGGTGGAAAATCAGTTTCATAAAGTCAAGGATTATAGCCAACAGATTATGCAACAAAATTTCAAGTAACAAATACAATGAAGAAAAAATAAAGCAAGGTAATGAAATAAAGAGTAAAAGAGAAGGATCCATTTCATAAGTATTAGAAAAACTATGCAGAACAAGGATGTTTCATATTGTCAAATATGCTGAAGGAAAACATCCATAAAAAGTAACATACTAGGAGTTAATTTCTTTCCAGTGTACCCTACAGTACCTTTTATAATTATACTCTATTAAAAAGTTGTGCACTACTTTGTGAGGGCAGTGACAATACACACACACACACACACACACCCTTTGATCACCACAGTACAAATACTCCATACTAATATATACTTAATAAATATTTGCAAAACTCAGTAAATTCCACAGTAGCAAAATGGTATCAGATCATTAGATGAAATTTCTTAAACTTGTTTTCATGGCTATAGAAAAGTGAAAATAATCAAATGTCAGTACAATGATAAATAATATTACTATATCAAGAAGTAATAGTATAGCTGACTCTTGGAAGGGGTCAATAAATCCACCAACAGATGAACAGATAAAGAGCACACAGTATTTACACACAACAAAGCATACTCTGCTATTAGAAGTGTAAACTTATGTCATTTGTAGACCATGTTAAGTGAAAGAAACCAGACACAGAAGTTTAATATCACATGGTTCCTCTTATATAAGAAACCCAAATTATACATAAAGAGCAAAATAACAGGTCATAGGGAGTAGAGAGAGAGATTTTTCTCAAACGGGATAGGGATCCAGAGATGGAGGAAAGGGGAAGGAAGGGAGGGAAAAGGGATGAAGAAAGGAATGCAGATGTGTTATGCACATATACCACCTCCACATAAGGAATGAAAACATTATGTACTGCAAACATGGACTACTAACACTGAGCACTGTGCTAAGGCTCTTACATATTTTCATCTCTCTCAATCCTCAGAGAATCCTAAGAAGGAAAAATTAATTCTATTTCACACATAAGAAAAAAACACAGGCTTAAAAATCAGTAACCTACTCAATATCACATAGCAAATAAATGTCAAACTTGAGTTTCAAACACAGAACTCTTTCATCACAAGGCCTGTACTCACTAACTTAGAATGCCTCTGGAATGGTGTCAGTAAACATAGACATGCTCCAACCACAAAGCCATCTCTGACTGCTCTACAAATGATGCTAGCTCATCAGGAGAACTCAGACAAGCGTAAAATGTATTTGCTCCTATACTGAAAAATGAGGAAAAATGAATGAAGAATGTAATTTTAATTTTGGAATTTATCTGCAAATGATTTTTCTCAGAAATTTTATATGGGATCGCCTGAGTATATATAAGCTGACAATGAAAAAAAAAAATGATGTGAAGTTAGGCAATGCTGATGGCAGAGAAATATAAAATTTGCTGTGCTTATCCAAATTACATCAAATCATGAGGCAGTGTTTATAATTTCATTTGAAGAGCCTTGTTTACTGAAAACACTCACGTGATAGAAATATTATATAAATATATCACCACTTGTTTGCTTTTTCCTTTAGTAATATTTAGTTTTACAACCTAGCTGAACAACATAAAGGAGTGTAACCACAACAGTCTTAGGAAGAAAAAAAATTGCTTATACCTGATCTATGAGTCGCTTTATTAGAGGTAGTCCTTCTAATGCTGAACTGTCACATCCACTGGTCAATACTCGTTCAAATCCCAAGGTTAAGAGGGTCTCTAGAGCTGCCATTGGATCATGAACCATGTCAAAAGCTGAAATAAATTTTAAACAAATGTGCAAAAATGCAGTGTTATGTAGTTTACATATACCGGTATACTGAAGCCAGATTATATTGGCCTATAAACACCAATTGTAAAATAGTCAGGAATTTTGCAAGTCAGATTGTTAAAATACTGACATCTTGAAATTAATCAAGGTGGAGTACACAGACCACAGAAATCAGAAAATACTACAAATCAGAGCTCTTTTTTTTCCAAGTGCCAGTTTATCAGCACACCACAACCCAAATACCATTAGTACATGCCTGATCATTTTATTAGTATACACTTTTTTATTTTTGAGAGAGGGTCTTGCTATGTACTTCAGGCTGCTTTTGAACTTACTATGTAGTTCATACTGCCCGTGAACGCATAATGATACACCTGTCTCAGTTTCCAGAGTAATGGGATCACAGGTGTGCACCACCACACCCAGCTTGGTACAAATTTTAACTGGTCTATTTACTTACAGGCACATAAAAAGTGAGAAGTTTCCAATTCTTCAGGAATTATAAAAGTTTCTTTTTAAAATAAACCTAAGATTTTATTTTAAAAATATTATTTAATACATGTGCACAAGGGGGCATTCAGATATGATAAAGTTGTTAAGAGCAATAGGTAAGTGACCAAATATGGGAAACTGCTCTAAGACTTCAGACAAACTAGATGATATAAAATGAAACATTATACTCGCTAGCTCTAGTAAAAACACTGGCTCACATTCTCATTATTAAGGTTTCATACTAATACAATTACCTGACACACTTAGCACCTATAAGTATAAGGACAGCTGTTTTCAAAAGACTGTATGAAGCTGCAATTCCATCCTACTTTCTAAGAAATTGCACTCCTCAGGAGAGAGAGGAAAGTGGTCTAGGAATCTCAAAACAGAAAAACTTTGGTTCTCAGCACTGCTACATGATACAGAAGTTCTCATTTATGTTAGGAGGTACTACTGGTTCTCTGAAACGGGCCCCCTCTTTTCACACCTTAGCATATGCAAGAGCAAAACTACTACAAAGGATTTTCCTTTTTCAGTAGCAGCACTTTCTCATTAGTGATTACACTATCATACTATCTAATTAAATGAATAGGAGCAAAAAGTATAGCATCAGGACAGTGCAAAATTTCTACAAAGTATGTAAATATTTGTGTTAAAGTTACTAGAGAAAAGGAAATGAGGGGGCTGGGGATTTAGCTCAGGGCAAAAGCGCCTTCCTGGCAAGCGCAAGGTCGTGAGTTTGGTTCCCGGTACCGGAGAAAAACCAAAACCAAAAAAAAAAAAAAAAAAGAAAAGGAAATGAATAGAAATCTGAAGTCATTTTCTAAGTTTACAAACAGAAAAAATTTATTTTATAGGCCTGATTTGCTTTTAAGTTATTTAGCACATAAAAGTTTTAAACTATGCATTTTCCAGGAAAATATTCAGTAATTTAAAATATTTTTCATGTTTAAAATTTTTTTCTTGCATGTGGCTAGCTAGCCTCCAGATGCTGACTTGAAACAACCTAACTTTTTAAAGTTATTGTTAGTTTATAAGAAGCACTGCTAACATCAAGTCAAAGAAAACATTTTTCTGGTCACGCCATTTCAAAAGAAACAAAGACAACAAATATTTTATCCCTAACTTCTATAATTGGACACAGATACTGATATGCTAGTCTAAAAAGGGAGAAAAGGGCATTTAAAAACTTTTTAAGCATATGATCAAGGAAAAAAATGAAAAACTTCGACTACCTTCTTTTCATGGGCAATACCAGTGCAAAAGTGACACTTGTTCCTCTACTTCAAGAATTAGCCAAAGAATCATACCACAGCAATATATGCACATACATGTTTATAGTGGCACAGTTTATAATAGCTAAATCTTACAAACAGCTCAAAAAAACATCAATCGATGAATGGTAAAGATGTTCTTTTAAAAAAAAAAAATCCAATGGAGTACTACTCTGCCGTAAAGAAGAATAAACTTGAGACATTTCTAGTTATTATCTAGAAATGCACCTTGAGACCATACTCTTAAGTGAAATAAATCAGACACACATGTCCAAATACCATATTATTTCTCTGTTATGAGAAACCAGAAGTATAAGTAAAGACCAAAATGTATAATAGATATTGGGAAATGGGAAGAAAATGTTCAAATGAGAAGGGGAATAAGGAAGAGGTGAGGGGGAAAAGAAAGAAGGATCAAGTAAAAAGAGAATAAAAGGAAAAAATGGAAACAAAGCTTTTGTAAATAAAGAAGGGAAGTGAGACTGAAGGGAAGGGCGGAGAATGCAGAAAAAAGCAGCAGCAAAGGTATATGATGTACAGGTACAAATTTCCTACGATGAAAGTTACACTATGTACACCTAAAGTGTACCAATAAAGTAAAAATAAAAAAAAAACAATTAGCCAAAGAAGTATGGGAATTGCAACCACCTGATTTGTGGACAGGAAGCATTTCCTTATACAATGTATACAAGTTATTAATCATGAAAAGTAATTTTGTATATCATAGCACACATCTGTTGACTGTTTAGCAATTATTTCTTGTTTCCCACTTCCTAAAAATGTCCAATTTTTCTTGAAATATCCAACCTCTTTTCCCACAGGAAGCTATCTGAAAAAATTGACCTGACTACCCCCTAGCTCCAGAGTAGCCCTGTGTGGCATAGGTCTAGCAATACATTTCACAGGCCACAGTACTTTATTCTTTTTAGGGGTGTAGATGAGCTAAGGTAATCAAATTAGAATGAATCTCAGGACAGTTACTTGGGATAGATTCATGCGATTGCAAGCAATATTTATTTACTTATTTATTTGCAAGCAATATTTAATCTATCCCTCTACCCTTATATTCCACCACCACTTTCAACAACTTTTCCTAACTGAACCTTCAAAATTTCTAGAAACCAAATGGCAACACTATAAACACTAAAGAACTGTTTTCCATAGGCCGAAGGTACCATCTCGTAACAACATTCAACAGAACTAAAATGGAAATAACTCACCTCGATGGAAAGTAACTGGCAAAGGACGGCAAAGAGCTATAAAAGGAAAATCATACGACAGGACTGAAAAAGAGGCAATCACTGAACAGACAAATGAAGAAGTACATCTCCCCCCAAAACATAAAATAAGTGCACATGTCAATAAGTAGATGAAAAACATCTTCAGAATCTTTGCCCATTAGAGAAATGCAAATCAAAACAACACTGAGATTCTACCACACTTCAGAAAGAATAGCTATGATCAAGAACTAAAAAAAAAAGCCAGTGAGGTTGGAGAAAAAAAAGAAACTTTGTAGAACAACCACTATAGAAATCAGTGTGGCAATTTCTCCAAAAAAAAAAAAACTAAAAATAGAAATTTCTTTTGACCCAGCAAAACTTTTTCCAGTTACCTTCCTGGAAGAGTTAAAGACATTATATTACAATGCTACATGCACACCCATGTTTACAGTAACACAACTCATAACAGTTAAATTATACCTAGAGGCCCATCAACAGATGAATGGGTTAAAAAAATGTGATCTAGATACACAAATAGAGTGCTACTCAGAAATAAAAGATAAATTTTCATTTGCAGAAAAATGGATATACATTAAGACCATAATGCTAAGTAAAATACATACCTATTACACAGGTTAAATACCTATTACATAGGTTCTATGAGAAACCCAAAGTATAAATAAGAACAAAATAAAAGACAGATGATAGGCCAGGCATGGTGTGCATGTCTGTAATCCCACACTCAGGAGGCTGAGGCAGGAGGATTGCTGCACACTTGAGGCCAGCATGGGCTACATAATGAGTTCGAGGCCAACATGAATTACAGAGCAGGACTCTATCTCAACAAAACAAAACAAAACAAAACACAGATGATAGGGAATGGGGAGGGAGATTCCACAGAGACAGGAATGGGATCTCGAAATGGAGGGAGGCAGGAGGATGGGGAAGAATTAAAAATGATTAAGATGTGATATGTGTATGTTACCCCAATTACCCTAGATGAATGTAATTATTATTATTTTTTGAGACAGGGTCTTGCTTTGTAGTTCAGGCTGGCTTTGAACTCACTATGTAGCCCAGGCTGGCTCCAAACTGCTGGTGATCCTCCTCCAAAGTGCCGGTGATCCTCCCAAGGGCTGGATTACAGATGTGTACCACTATGCCTGGCTGAATGTAATTATTACACATCACAAACATATATTAATAGAAAAAAAAAGTCATCATCGATTAGTTTATATGGAATTGTCCATGCTAGCTGAGACTTTATACTTTCTTCTTCTAAGAATGTGAACTAAAATAAAAACAGCAGCCTTACAAATTCAAGTCTTTCTACTAAACTCTGATTTATAGATAAAATATTGTCATCCATACCTTAAGAGATACCAGATAAAAACATCTGGTAACTATAAAGAGCACTGTGTCTACTACTTACCCCTCTGAGGATCTTAAGAAATACTTTAGTAATATAATAGTTTACTTCTGTCCTCTCCCCTTCTCTCCATACTCACTGATTGCAATAGCTTTTGAAAGTTTTTGGAGTAGTGGTTAAAGGAACCAAGGTCAGCATCACAAACCTGACTTCTCAGTCACACTTCCAGACACATCCTACTATGTGTGGGAAAACCTCTTAACTTTCCTCAGTTACTGTGCAGATCACCTAAATAACTAGTGCTTAAAACAGGATGTGTAAGTATCTGTAGGTATGATTGAAAAGTAAGTTTTGTGGTATTTTTCTGCACTGGGAGCATAAACGTAATTATCTCAGATGCAAATTCTTACCCACAAGAGACATGCACAGCTCTTTGTCAATATGTCCATCTTCAGTCAATGCCCCAAATACCAAACCATCTGCACCATAAAGCTTGGCAAGCTGAATGTCAGCCTTCATCACCTCAATTTCACGATCTGAATACAAAAAATCACCTCCACGCGGCCGAATCATCACGAAGACTGGGATCTGGATGCTCTGTTTCACTACTTGAAGAACGCCTGTAAGAACAGGAAGCAAACTAAAATTCAAATGTGAGCTAAAAGGTCCAGAAAGTGAATGAGATATTACATATACATTTGTTCTTGTTATTACTTTCAAAAGAAAAAGCTGACTGAGGAAACTAGAGGAAATGGATATAAAGAGAAGAAGGGCAGTAAGAAGAACAGTGCATATATTGATAGAAAGTAAGCAAGAAGGAAGTCAAGAATTAACAAGAGCAATTTAGGGGCTTGGGATTTAGCTCAGCAGCACAGCACCTGCCTGGCAAGTGTGAGGTCATGAGTTCGATTCCTGGAACCGGGGAAAAAAAAAAAAAAAGAGCAATTTAGAAACTGAAGATACTATACTATAGAAGCACTTGTCAGTTTCCCCAACAAAAATCCTTCTGACTCAGAACCTTTTACTGGTTAAGATAATTAAAAGTATATTAACTACTAGGCTCAGTGTCCTGTCAGTATATCCCCTAGGACTAAGTTTTTCCTTTATAATTGGTCATAGCTCTATTTAAAATCCACTACAAAGATGGTTAAATATTTCCAAAATTTATGTCCTCTTACTGGATAAGAAATTTAGCAAAACTTATTTTTGAACAAGATACTTGAAAAGTAGCAAAATTTTTCCTATTTGTGGTAGTAAGCAGTATTTGAACAGAAGTACCTGCATATGACAATGTGGTCACTCAGAAATACTCAACAATGTAAGAGGAAAAACTACATTCAAGTCCATCATAATTGAACTGTTTAAAACTGGGAATAAAGATAAAAATCTTAGAAGCACCCAAAGTAATATATAGAAAAAAACAAAGCTGTGGATGATAGATTTCTTATCAGAAACAACACAAGCAAGAAGACAGTGAAAAAACATCTTGAAAGAACTAAAAGAAAGAAGAAAAACTGTCAATCTAGAATTTTACAGCCAGCAAAAATATTTTTCAGAAATAAATGAGAAAGTTCTTACTGCAGAGCAGCTGAATCACTGTAATACAGCAGCTACATACCTTCCACCTTTCTGATGCTAGATGATCAAAATATGGTATTTCCAACCGTAAGCATTTTAAACTGATACATATTCATACCATTCTTAACCGTTACATTAGTACAGGACCCAAATGAGACTGCTAATCAGTTGTACCCTGGCTCTCTAAATTCCTAGAAGAAAATATGTGAAAAATAAGCACTTACCCATGCTAGGTGTGGTTCCTCCCTCTAATAAACCAGAACATAATTCAATCCGACCAGCACCTGTAATAAAAAATAGCACTACTCAGCACACACAAAAAACAAACTTCTTTAATAACACCTAAACAGCAGGAAGCAACACAAATGACATTAAAAGATTACTGGCAGAAATCATAGAAGAAAATTTCCCAAGGATGGAAACAGAACC